ACACACACACACACACACACACACACACACTGAAGTACTACTCTGCCATAAAGGATGAGCTTCAGACATTTATAGCCCAATGGATGGACCTTGAGACCATACTCTTTAGTGAAATAAATCAGACGCACATGTTTAAAAGCTGCATTGTTTCTCTGGTGTGAGAAACTGAATGTGGAAATAAGGACTAAGATGTACAATGGATGTTGGGAAATGGAATGAAAGTGTTCAGATGGGAAGGGGAACAGAGGAGGAGGGAGGGAGGAAGGATGGGATAAGAAGAAATGAAAATAGGAAAAAATGGAAACAGTTTTTGTACATGAGGGGGGAGGAGGTTCAGGGGAAATGGGATAAAATAAAAATTATTTAAATAAATAAACCTTTTCCTCTTTAACTTCGGGTGTCGGGTATTTGTCTTAGCAACAAGAGAAAAGTAACAAAGAGTGCCCCGTTCCCAGGGTTCCTGCCTCTGTGGGACTTCTGTGCTTGCCCGTGTCACTTACTGTCAGTTTGTATCTGCAGGCTCAACACCAGGCTGGGACTGGGAGGCGTTCGCTCTCGAGTTGGGGTCCAGCACAGCCCTCTCAGCCAGCCAGCACGCACCACCACCTTCCAGCAGAGATTTGATGCCCGGCAGAAGATCGGCCTGGCAGATGCCCGCCTCAAGCTGGGAGTCAAGGACGCCCGGGAGAAGCTTTTGCAGAATGATGCCCGGTTTCGGATCAAAGGGAAAGTGCAGGATGCCAGGGAGATGCTGAACTCCCGGAAGCAGCAGAGCACAGTGCCACAGAAGCCCCGGCAGGTGGCTGACGCCCGCGAGAAGATCAGCCTGAAGAGGAGCACACCTGCCACCTACCCGAGCTTGCCCGTGGGGACTGTGACCCCTGCCTTGAAGCTCACCAAGACTATCCAGGTAGGGCAGGCTACAGTCTGCATCCCTAGCAGGACAGGAAGAAGGAGATCAGGCAGGAACTGTGGGGTGTAGACAGAATGGTTTGGGCAAAAGTGAAATTCTCCCAGGTGTTGGTACAGCGGTTTGTAAGAGTCAGATCTGGGTGCTGGTCAGTGCCCTGGCCGCCCTCTCCAGTCCCCCCCCAGGGGAAAGGGACAGTCCCACTTCACCTCCACAGACACTTGGGTAGTGGGACCCTGACTGAGCCGAGCCACGTGGGCTTGGACTGACAGTGCTGTCCAGTCCCATGTAGTGGATGCCCATACTGCACGGCACTGCAGGTCAGATACGTGAGCCCCGGGCAGACTGGTGACTACTCTGTTTCCAGGTTCCGCAGCAGAAGGCCACGGTGCCCCTGCATGTCCATCCCGCTGGAATGAGGATCAATGTTGTCAACAACCACCAGGCCAAACAGGTACGTGAATGTGTGTATGTGTGCGCGCACATGTTAGACCTGGCCTGGCCCAAGATTCCCACTTCTGAGGCGTAGAGGAGGAATTATGTTTGACCTTTTCCAGTTTATGAGTTTTAAGAAAAACTTTTTAATGAGGGGGGCATTAAGAGACAGGCAAATTCAATTTTTTCTTGTTACAGGGGAGTGAACCCAGGAGTGCTTGTTCCACCACTGAGCTATATCTATAGCCCTTTTGCTTATGACGTGTGAGATACTGAGTATTAATTATAAAATTTACACATACTTTATGTAGAAAATTTGCAAAAAAGGGGCTGGGGATTTAGCTCAGTGGCGCCGTGCCTGCCTTGCAAGTGCAACATCCTCAGTTCGATTCCAGATACCAAAAAAATTTTGTTTTTGCAAAAATAGGGAGGAAAGTAATTGAGCATGGTGGCACATACTTGTAATACCAAGACTTTGGGGTGGGGGGAAATTAGGATAAATGATTAAAGACATTTTAACCACCCCCCCAAAAAAATACCAGTGCTCCGGGAGGATGAGGCAGAAAGATCCCAGGTATATGCCCAGCCTAGGCAACTTAATGAGACCATGTCACAAAATTTCAACAAAGGATGGGGTTCTGGCTTAGTGGAAGGCCCTGCATTCAATCTCTAGCACCCCAAACAAAGGAAAAAAAAGTCCTTCTTGCTCCTTTTTTCCAAAGCCAGCCATTGTTGAAATTTTGCCCTAGTGCCATCCAGGATTTTGAGGGTTTGACTTGTTTTGTTTGGGATCTTGGGATTCAAGTCAGAGCCTTTGCATTAACTTACATCTCTAGTCCACTCCCACACCCCCCATCCTCTTTTAAATTTTTGAGACGAGAGTCTTGCTAAGCTGTCCAGGCTAGCCCTGAACCTGCGACCCTCCTGCCTCGGCCTCTTAGAGTGAGTAGGATAAAAGGAGTGTATCATCATCTCCTGCTTGTGGTTATCTTCTTACCCAAGGTTGTGCCGCTTTTTAAATCTGTATTTTTATTTTGTAACGTAAGCTTTCTGATGTAAACATCATTAGTGGCTGTATAGTCCATTGGGTGACATTCTAGTTTCTCTACTGTCATTTTCGCTGTTAAAAGTGTTTCTGCCTTGGGCTGGGGATTTAGCCCAGTGGTTCTGCCTCCTGCCTTGCAGTCGGGTCACCAGTTTGATCCCTGGTACCAAAAGAATAAAAAAAAAAAAAAAAAAAGTCTGCCTGGAGGCTTTGGGGATGAAACTCTTTCTGGGGCTGGCAGACCAGATTACCTAGGGGCCTCTCCAAGCCGAAGAAGATACAGCGTGTGTTGGCAGTGATGTTTAAGGTGATGGTGGGTGCTCGCACAGCAGTCTGCACACAGCTGAGGTGTTGCTGTGCCCTCCGCGCTCCTGTGCATGCACTACGGGGTTTACATGGCCCCAGTGGCTCTCAGGGACTGACTCCTCAGCACATCCCTACCATGAAGTGACACTTGTCTGTAAGTGCATTTCAGACTCGGATGGGAACTGCCCCCTTACAGAAAGTGCCTGCAAGCTGTGGTGCTTTTATCGGGCCCAGCAGGAGAGTCACCCTGAGAGGACTTGAGCCCTACCCTCCCCGCCCCTGTGGCCTGCGGGCAGACTTAGCCTATGTTCCTTCCTTCTCAGAATTTATATGACCTGGATGAGGATGAGGAGGTGACGGCGCCCATCCCTTCTAAGCAGATGAAGTTTGCAGCCTCTGGCAGCTTTCTCCACCCTGTGGTATGGCAGTTCCCTTTTCCTTCCCCTTGCACCTGGGGTGGGAGAGGTTGTGGAGAGCGAACAGGACCTTTCAGTGATTTGGGGTCTGAGACTTCAGAGCTGCAGCTGGTCCAGCCCTTGGTCTTACATGGGTCCACCAGTGGGCACTGTGCAGGGCGCAGCTCCCAGGGGCTGTGTTTTAGACACATGAGTGAAACATGTCTTGGAGCGTTTTCCACTGCTATAATAGCACCGCAAGCTGCTTCTGGTGTGGAGCCTGGAAGTCCCGTCATGGGGACTGTCTGGGAAGGGCTCTAGCGGTCACAGCATGGCAGAACAACAAGTGTGGGAGAGTTCAAAATGGGTGAACGCATCCTTTCGTCAGGAGCCCACACCTGGGAGTGCTACCCACTCCTGTAGTAACAGCCTTAATCCATTCACAAGGGCAGTGTTCTGGGGTCCAAAATGATTCTTAAAGGTGCTACCTCTTAATACTATTTTTTGGAAATTAGATTCACCACCAGATTTGGAGGGGACAATAAAACTAAAGCCAGGATGATCTCATGGAAGGAACCCAATTTACTTTTCTCTGTGACAGGATATTGAGCCTGCTCCCTGGCATTCCATGGTCTGCAGCTTTGGCTGGCTTTTGGATTTGGGGTTCCCTGGGTTGGGGTTAGCAGGAATAAGAAGTCCCACCTGATAGTAGGAAGGTCAGAGGCTCCTGCTATCTCCCCCAGGTGGGCACTTCCTGGTTGATGTTCAGCGGCCTGAAGACTGGTTTTGGTCTTCATCCTGAGTGAGCTCCTCCTGGTTGCCCCTTAAGCTCCTACAGTGCTGTGAGAAGCTGTGTGCTGCCACTTTGTCTCTATGCAAGCATTGGGCCTTTGTAGTAGTTAGAGCCCTGGGGTCTCCAGTGTGGGTACTCTGGCTGGCTCGGTGATGGCAGTCTCCATTGACAGAGTAGTTTATTAGCTCGCTCAGGAGTCACTCCCCCAGCTGATGGACACTATTCACTTGTTTATGGGTAGGGAAGTGGGCAGGGAGAACTCTAGGAAATCCGCTTAATATCACCTAGCTTACCAACAAATCTAGTTGTTGAGCCAAAGTAGTGTGTCTTCAGGGGCTATGAGAAACCTTGACCTTGTCCTGGCTCTTGAGATGCAGAAAATGGCTTGAAATGTGGAACTTGGCACAGGGAGATGTTTCATGGGGATTTGCAGACTCTGGTGTGCTGCCCCTGCCCTGCTGTGCCTCTCTGGCTTCTGTGTCCCTCTGGCTGCTGTGTCCCTCCCTTCTGCCTAGTTCAGTGCCTACGTCAGCAAGGCCACCTGCCAGTCTTCTGCATCTCGTCCCAGACACCTTAGCGTGAGGGAGTTGTGTGCACCAGGCTACATCCCCCGCTTGGGTAGGGACTGTGTCTGGTGATCTCCATGAGTCAGCTCTACTGGCATGACCCTGCTGGTATGCCTGCCACTCAGAGAACCCAGGACTGCGTGATGCCTCTGTGTGTCAAGATCAGGCACCAGGAAGCTGGGGATTGGGGCCATCTTAAGAGTGACATTCGGTGCCCAGCCAGCCTGGAGCTGTGGTAAGCTGTTGTGAGAAGATCCTGTCTAGGAATGAACCTGGCCTTGGGCTTTGGCCTTCTGACCAGCTCAGATGGTAGGGAGTTCGGAAAGCCTGAATGGTGTGGGTAAGTTTCCATCAGGACACTGCAGTGGCTGTTGTGAGCATGTGTTCAGGCTGTGTGCTGTTCATCCTGCCCCCCCTCAGCAGACATTCCTGGTAGTGGCGGCCTTTTTTGCTTCCAATGCTAATGGACTTGGGCTGGGAGGTACTGAGGATTTGCCACTCAGATGCTTGCCAGTCCCTCGGGCCTGTGTTTCAGAGGAGTCGGGGCTCTGGCCGCTCATCTTCCCTTCTGGCTCTGTAGGCTGGGCTGAGCAGTTCAAAGCTCTCCGTGTCCAAGGCCCTCCCTCTCACCAAAGTGGTTCAGAATGATGTCTACACCGCTCCTACTTTCCCTGCCTCTGTTCGAACAAAAGCCTTGATCAACATGTCCCGGACGCTGGTGAACAAGGAGGAGCCCCACAAAGGGCTGCCACCTGCTGAGGTGAGCTGGTGTGCTGTGTGAACCCCAGTGGGTTCTTGAAACCTCTCTGTCTGTGAGTAGGTGTTGCCACCCATTTACAGCACCATGTGTTGTGGTACAGTGAGGGTTTCCTGGAGCCGTGAGGGAAGGGCATCTCCTGCCCCCTCAAACTGGGAAGGTTAAAGGCAAGCAAGCCCCTGAGCTGGTTGGGGCCTTCAAGGCCTGCTGCATGGGGAGTGTGCTCTGTCCCTTGGGCACAGGTCGGGGTGTGGGGACCTTAGGGTCTGTGGGCCTGGTGGTGATGGGCTCTGGAAGTGGGGTGAGGTCTGTGTGTATGCCCAACCCATCCATGCCTGGTCACGTTCTTGTCTGTGTGCAGCCTGTCCTCAGCCCCTTGGAAGGCACCAAGATGACTGTGAATAATCTGCACCCTCGAGTCACCGAGGAAGACATTGTTGTGAGTACTGTGGCCTGTGGGATTTTATGTCTTAAACTGCTCTTATGGCACAGGAGCCCAGAACTACCGCCAGTTTGATTGCTGGAGCTCACGGCACTGGCTTATGTCCATGCTGGGTGCTAAGGTTCATTATAGTACTAGGATAGGTGCCTGCTAGCCAAAGGGAGAGGCGTACGGCCCTCATGGGGTAAATGTGGAGTCACGCAGGCTGCACACCATTCCTGCAGCATCAGTGGCACAGGGACCGTGGCTTCCTTGCCCAGGGCTTTTACTAGGGAGTAGTCACGTAGTCATTCTCTGCCTGGAGTGTGCCAAAATTCCATGTGTGTGGGTGTGGGGGGTACTGGGGAGTGAGACAGCCTCTGCACTGAGCCCCAGCCTCACCCCTTTTTTTAAAATTGTTTTAGACAGGGTCTTGCTAAGTTGCCCAAGATGGGCTTCAACTTATAGTCCTCCTGCCTCAGCCTCCCAGAGTGCTGGGATTACAGGTGTGCATCAGCACACCCAGCTCTCCTGTACCCTTTAGACCAAAGCCACCTACCTCCCCTGGATCTTGGGTCATAGTGCCTGTGCCCTGGTGGGTCCCATGTGGGCTCCTTCTGTGCTGCTGTGCAACATCCCGCGGCGAGTGTTTCCCCATCCTCTGCACTTCCTGTTGCCACGAGTGTGGCATGGTGACCCATTTAGAAAAGCCTAATGGGTTGCCTTCTTGGTCCATCCGTTTTTTTGTTTTTTGTTTTTTTTTTGTATCGGGGATCGAGCTTGGGACCTTGCACTTGTTGTAAGGTAGACAGTGGAACCACTGAGCTAAATCCCCAGTCCTTGGTCCGTCCTGTGTTGTCCCCTGGAAAGTGGGGTCTGGAGTTAGCCAGATTTCCTTTTCAACCTCATTTTCCCTAGGCATGTAGAAATGCAGGCGCCGTTTGAGCAGTCAGATCATGAAATGAGTGCAGCCGGGACACCCCACTGCGGTTGAGTTTTGGAAGCACCTGTGCTGGCGGTGGTGCCTAACGTTTGTCACTGTGAAGTGCACGAGTGCCAAGTGAGGACTAGAACTGAGCAGGCCTGGTGCTCGGGATGCACAGCCCCGCTCTCAGGGACACCTATGACCTGCTGAAAAGCAGCCTTTCCGGGTTTCAGAAACAGTGCTGGTGTGTACCTTGTAGCCTCACTTACCTGAGAGGCTGAGTGAGGCATAGTGAGCTCAAGGTCAGCCTAGGCCACCAGAGCGAGGAGGTAGGAGCAGCTGGCACTCACTGAGTACTTCCTGTGTGCCGGGGACTTTGTGCGACGGGACTTTGAAGAGACCACTCAGAAAACTGTCACTGGAAATCACCCTAAATTACTGCTTTTCTACCCAAATAAGTAACTATAAAAACAACAGAGCTGGGTATCATGGCCCAGGCTGTAACCCTGGCTACTTGGGAGGTGGAGGCAAAAGGGTTGCAAGTTCGAGGCCAGCCTGGGCAACATAGTGAGACCCTGTTTCAGAAAAATCTCAGAAGGTCTGGGGACGTACAGGGCTTGGCCAGCACGCACAGGGCCCTGGGTCCAGTACCTAGTACTACAAAGAAAATAAAAACAATGCAGTGGTAATGAAGTTGGGAACACATCTAGTATCCTACGGCTTAGTCTTGATATTTAACACTTTCCCCTTTTTTATTTTATTTTATTTTATTTCTCGCTGATCGAACTTGGGTTCTTGCACTTGTGAGGCAGATGCCAGAAAGTGGTTCAGAATGAGCTAAATCCCCAGCCCCACTTTCCCCTTTATTGTAAAAAATGCATTTCAGGGGCTTTTTCACAAGCCGCCTCTGTCCTCATGACAGCTGTGTGAGGTGGTTGCAGATGAGAACAGCGGATGCGAACATGCACTTCCGCAGGGTTTCTCTCAGGCACGGTCTCCCTGTCAGCAGTGGTGAGGACAGCATGTACTAGCGTGCCTTAGGAATGGCTGCGATGAGCTTCCCAGCGACCCTGGGAGGGGGCTGGAGCAGGTTGGATTCCCAGAAGAGACCACTGAGAGAGGTCGAGAAACATGCAGGCACTCAAAGCAATAGAAGGCAGCATCCCGGGGACCAGACCCTTGTGTCTAACTTAGTGTGACCAGCTGTCCCAGTTCTCTAGGGCATTCCTAGTGTCAGCACTCAGTCCGTATCCCAGGGAACTCTTGAATCCACTCATCCCAGGACCGTGGGGCACTTGTAGTTCTCACAGATTCCCGGGTGATGTTTAAGTAACTGTTCTAGGTGAGCCTGCACATCCATGCTCAAGACAGAGCTCTGGAGGGGACGTCCCCTGTGACCCTCCTTAGCGCTGAAAGCTCTGGTGCTGATCTGGTGGGAGGTCACAGGAGGAGCTCTGGAGGGGACGTTCCCTGTGACCTCCTTAGCGCCGAAAGCTCTGGTGCTGATCTGGTGGGAGGTCACAGGCACCAAGGCTTGTATGTCCTGGTGCCCTTCTCACTGCCATCGCAAGCTGGCTGGGACCTGGCCTTGGGTGGGGCTGGAGTGTCTCAGGACCCTGACCTGAGAAGACCCTGCCTGAGATCTTGGTCACTCAGTGCAGTACACAAGAGCCTGTGGGTAGTGAGGGATGGCAGCAGGAAGAAGAGCTCTGGAGGGGACGTCCCCTGTGACCCTCCTTAGCGCTGAAAGCTCTGGTGCTGATCTGGTGGGAGGTCACAGGCACCAAGGCTTGTATGCCCTGGTGCCCTTCTCACTGCCATCGCAAGCTGGCTGGGACCTGGCCTTGGGTGGGGCCGGAGTGTCTCAGGACCCTGACCTGAGAAGACCCTGCCGGAGATCTTGGTCACTCAGTGCAGTACACAAGAGCCTGTGGGTAGTGAGGGATGGCAGCAGGAAGTCCCCTCAGCCTGCCCCTGTTCTTTGTAGGAGCTTTTCTGTGTGTGCGGAGCCCTCAAGAGAGCACGGCTGGTCCATCCCGGGGTGGCAGAAGTGGTCTTTGTAAAGAAGGATGACGCCATTACCGCATATAAGAAGTACAACAACCGCTGTCTGGACGGTAAGTTGGGGGAGAGTGGCCACCTTGCCTTCTGTGCGGGCACCAGGCTGTGGGCCTCTCAGGCAGCTTCCTGTGAGTGGTAGAGAGCATCCCGGGATGGCTGCTGTTCCACGGCCTCTGGCACACCAGGACCAGGCGAGGGTTGCAGTCTCTGAGGTGGGTTGAAGCTGTACTCGGCCTGGCAGGAAACTTGTTTTCCTGTGGAAGGCTCTCTGAGGTTTCTGGCCAGGGAAGCCAGGTACTGCTGCCTTCCAACCTAGATGTCCTCGATGGTGGGGGCCTCATCTAGTCACGCTCCTGGGCGGGCTCTGCTCTGCTCCTCTCAGGCCTGGAGAGAACAGGCTCCGCAGCCTCTTTGGCTCACCAGTTCTTGCAGTGAGGTTTCTGGCCAGGGAAGCCAGGTACTGCTGCCTTTCAACCTAGATGTCCTCGATGGTGGGGGCCTCATCTAGTCACGCTCCTGGGCGGGCTCTGCTCCTCTCAGGCCTGGAGAGAACAGGCTCCGCAGCCTCTTTGGCTCACCAGTTCTTGCAGGTTTATTGTGTGTCTGCTGTGGACCGGGGCCTGGGCTGAAGCGGGGAACAGAGACTGAGGGAAACAGCCAGTGAGCGAGTTCTGTGTGTTTTCCCAGCTGGCGAATGGTGTTGACTGTGCGTGTGTCCATTTTGGTTTTTTGAGACAGGGTCTTGCTATGTAGTTGAGACTGACCTGGAAATCACTACGTAAAACAGACTGAGGGAAACAGCCAGTGAGCGAGTTCCATGTGTTTTCCCAGCTGGCGAATGGTGTTGACTGTGCGTGTGCCCATTTTGGTTTTTTGAGACAGGGTCTTGCTATGTAGTTGAGACTGACCTGGAAATCACTACGTAGCCCAGGCAGGTCTCGAACTCACAGCAATCCTCCTGCCTCAGCCTCCCCAGTGCTGGGATAACAGGTGTGCACCACCACGCCCAGCCCTTCTGTAGGTTTTGATATATGGTGTCTATTTCTGTTTCTGTTGAAGTGTTTCCTAATTCCCCTTTTGATTTTTTTTGACGTGTTGTTTAGGATTGTTTGTTTAACTCCCTTATATTTATGGACTTCCCAAAGTCTCCGTGTGAGGAAGGGGAGTGTTGCTTGGGCGGAGTGCTCTGTGACACCGCCTGTGTGTGGCGAGTGTAGTGTCGTCGGTCTTGATTCATTCTTGGTCCACCTGATGGTTCTAGTCATTGTACGGAAAATAGCAAAATCTTCAGTCATTATTATTATATATCTCTCTCTTTCTGTTTCTGTTAGGTTTTATTTGTAGATGTTTTTAAGAAGAGGTTTATTTTGGCTTATGTATTGTGTATTTGAGGTTCTGTTGTTACTTGGATTTGTGTTATAATTGTTGTTTTCCTAAGGATTTGGCCTTTTACCAGTTGAGAGTGTCCCTTTTTGTTGTTGTTGTTGGTTTTTTTGTTTGTTTTTTGAGACAGTTACTATATATTCCAGGCTGTCCTTAAACTCACTAGGTAGCCCAGGCTGGCCTCAGACTTGAGGCAATCTTCTTGTCTCAGCCTCCTCGGCTTTCCGGGCGCGGCTGTTGTGCAGTAGTCTTCCTCCGTCCCTGCAGTTCCCTCCTCCCTGTGTTCTTAGAGGGTTCTGTAGGCAGCACTGCAGTTCTGCTCCGGACCACAGCCTGGCAACTTGTAGTAGCAAGATTTTCTCAAAAAGGGGAAAACACAGAGCATTTACCCACGTTTTCCTTGGTTTCACCGCCGGGGATGGCAGCGTGACAGGAAGGCACCAGGTGGCAAAACAGCTGGAGACCAGCTGGGCCGGGAGCCCGAGTCCCTGGACGGCCCCAAGGCGGGGGCCTGGCGGGGTCACCTCATCAAGGCGCCCACTTCTCAGTGTTCACCCCGAGACGTAGCCCGGCGTACGCGGACCTGTGGGGGAGGCCACGTCCACACCACGGCGGTGACCCCGTTCTTCTGTGTGAGGAGCGGCGGTGTCACGGCCGTGCTTGTCTCCCCCCGTGTTTCAGGGCAGCCTATGAAGTGCAACCTCCACGTGGACGGGAACGTGATCACCTCGGACCAGCCCATCCTGTTGTGAGTCCAGGGCGGGCGCAGGCCGGGGCTTGCCTGTCTGCTGAACAGGCCGGGGCTTGTCTGTCTGCTGACCCTGCGCCGTGGCTGTTCCCTCTGCGCCGCTGACTAGTGCTCAGCCGGGACCCTGCCGAGGCCAGCGCCGTTTTCCTCATCCCCTGAGAGCCGAGGGGAGAGCCGGCTGCCGTCGGCCCCTGCCCCCGTGCGCGCCCTTCTTGTACACACTGCACATGCGCAGTAGTGCTGCCGCCGCTCGGGGCTCCTGGGAGTCCAGGAGGCAGCAAGTGCTGAGGCTGGCGGGACCTTCTCAAGATAGGGAGGCAGATACGTGGGGAACTGAGGTGGGTAGGGGAGTGCAGGGCAGCCTGGAGAGAGAGGCTTGGAGGTTTAGGAAGACACGGATTTGGACGTGGGTATTGAGTCATGAGATTTATCTCTTAGGAGCACATTGGGTTCTAAAAATGATTTGTTTGTTTTGTTTTTTGGGACAGACTCCTTGTATAATTTAGGCTGTCCTTAAACTCACTATGTAGGGCTGGGGGTTTAGCTTGGTGGTGCTGTCACCTGCCTGGCAAGCACAAGGTCCTGTGTTCGATCCCCAGTACCAGAAAACAAACGCAGGCTGGCCTCAAACTTGCCATGATCCTTCCTGCCTCAGCCTCCTGAGTGCTGGGATTACAGGCGTGTGCCACTACGCCCACTTCTAAAAACCGATTTTCAGGGTTGGGGATGTAATTCAGTGGCAGAGCGCTTGCCTACCAAGGTAAGTTCCCAACACTGGAAAAACTTGGTTTTTAGGATTTTATGACTGGTGAGTTCCGGCTCGTGGGCTAGCCAGAGGTAACTCCTCACTTGTTTGACGTATTAACGTGTGTTCCCGTTGTCGGGGGGAAATGCAGTGTTTCCTAAACTTAGGGCTTCAGAGCACAGCAGGCCATGTCTTAGTTTTCTCAGCAGTAAGTAAGGAAAACAACAGGGTTGCTGCAATAGGAAGGGAGGGCCTCATGCCCTGTGCCCAGCTCACAGCAGGTCCCCGGAGCCAGGGTCCCCTCCCCGGCTGCGGCCCCTGGTGAGGTTTCTCTTCTTGTCCCACACAGGCGGCTGAGTGACAGCCCCTTGGTGAAGAAGGACAGCGAGCTGCCTCGGAGGCTGACCTCAGCCTCCTCTGCCAACCCACCTACCGAAGTGGACCCGGACACCATCCTGAAGGCGCTCTTCAAATCCTCGGGGGCCTCTGTGACCACGCAGCCCACAGAGTTCAAAATCAAACTCTGAGCAGGGCAGGGCGGCACGGAGCAGGGCAGAGGAGGGCGGCCCTGTTCTGGCCCAGCTGGTGACCGGCGGGCATTGAACTGCAGCCCCTGGCGTGGGAAGGGTTGCCAGGATTGAGCTTCCTTGCCGGATGGGACCCGCCCTTCTGTGTTGTGTCCACCTGTGCTGTTTGTGTGTCCCCACTTCCTATAGTACGTCCTTCCCTTCCATCTGTCACCCCCTGGGCAGGGTGTGTTTTCTCGGGGTGACCCTGCCCTGCTCCCCTTGCTGGCTGCTGACCTGAAAGCAGTGTGCTCACTTGCCTGGACAGCTCTGTGCTGCCCCTGAGTGTGGGACGGGACTGTGAGATACCGCTACTTGGCCTGGAGCTCTGCTGATAGGGGCAGGGGCAGCTCGAGAGCAGTGCCACTAGCCCAGCACCCACCTGCTTGGTGGCAGTAGCTCTAGTGAACTCAGAGCCTTGTCCCTCATCACGGCCTTCCGTTCTGCAGGGCTTTGGCTCTGGGCTGCCTATGTTGGGAGATGCTGCTTTATTCCTGGCTCTGCCTTTCCAGGCCATGGTTGTCTACAGGGCAGAGCCAGGGTTGCCAGCAGCATGTATCTGTTCAGCTGCCACTGGGGGGCACTGTCTCTGATACTGTGAGTGACCCGTCTGTCACCTGTTGGCAGTGGGGAAATGGGAGGTGAGGAGCAGGTGGGCAGGCTTGCCCACAGGACTGCAGGACATGGTGTCAGTCGCTAGAAAGGACTCCAACTGGTAAGGCTGTGGCAGGTTAGGAGCAGGTTCTGGGAGCCACATAGATCGAGTATCGCGTGCCGTGAGGGGCATGAGCCTGGGAACAAAGGGAGCCTGCTGCCTGAGCTTCGCATCTGCCGGCCAGGCAGAATCCAGTTTGCCCTTAATTTCTGTGCTCAGATCTGAGGCTGCCCACACCGGGGAACCCAGTACAGCGGCCTAGTGGCTTCACTTGCCGTTCCTGAGTGTGTGCTGCTTTTCTCCTACAACCCATTCCAACAGGACAGACATCTGTCCCGCTTCACCCTCCTGGCCCAAGACACCCAGAAGGCCCACGGTCCTGGCTTGTGTATTGGGGACAGTTGGAGCCCTGCTGGGCCTTGGCTTCGAGTAGCAATGTGCACACCCTGCTTGTGTGCCCTGCCTCCCTTCCCCTCCCACCCCTGCCAGTGGGCTCTGCTCACCAAGCTCCTGGCCAAGTGGTCCGCCAGGAGGTCGGCACCTGTCACCTGCCCTGTCCTGTGGGATGTTACCTTGGCCACTGGAAAGAAAGCTCTGGACAGCCCTGTGTTGTTCTCACTTCTCCTGCATTGTTCACTTGTTCTGTTCAGAAGGCGAGGAGGCACGTTAAGGGGTGGAGGTGACTGTGTATTACTTACTGTTTCTGAATAAACATTTGTTATTGCTACATTTGAGCTGTGATTTCTTGAAAGATTGTGCTCAAGTGGCTTCGGTGGGAGCTGGCACCAGAAAGCAGGAATTTGCCTGTCTCCTTGGCTGCAGGATACACTTGTCTCCACAGCTTGGAGGTCCACAGACAAGGACTACGGGGCCTCTGCCGTGAAGAGTTCCGCTGAGTGTGGTCACCTTACGGTGAACAGTGGCTCTGGAAAGAGTGACGTGTGCTTGGTTTTATCATGGTACTGAAAGTGGATGGCAAGTAATTGTCCCCTCCTCCCCACTAAATACAACTGGGTACTTTCTACAACACATAATTAAGGTGGCTCAGATTTTTCAATTCTCTTGCACTTTGAAATTCAAAAGCAAGACAGTTGGAGAGAAGGGCAGACAGGCTGGGGACCTTGGGACCAGGGAAATGGCCAGCTCTGTCCTGGGTTTCCCTTCTGCTTTGCCTGCGCCCTGCAGAAGCTAGAGAAGCCAGCAACCTGGAAATGCCTGCAGGGACCCGACCATTTTGTCCTTGGGTCCAGATGGAGCCCCAGCCAGATGGGTGAGAAACTGCAGCAGTGGGCGTTTAGGAGCCAAGCCTGCCCTCGTGCCAGGCTGTATTGGGGGTTCCCCCAGGCCTCCACAGTTGGTATTTTTGGGGTCGTGGGTCTGAGTATGGGGCCCTCACCTAGCAGCAAGGAAGCCTCCCATCCTGATACCAAGAGCAGAACTGAACTTGCCATGCCTATAAGGAACAGGCTGGTGGGAGGGGTGCCATACAGGAGGCCTAAAGGAGATGCGGCCTCATGACACCCAAGGTGGCTACGCTGCAGTTGAAAGTCACTCCCACCAAGAACCAGGAAATCTCAGTGGAGGAGAAAGAATGGATAGCAATACAAAGTTGACGTTTGGAAATTGAAAGCAGCAAGACATTCGCAGATGAAACTAGGATTCATTGGGCGCAGATGACCCTAAAAGAATAAATTAAAAAGTTGGCAGGGATTCAGCTCAGGGGTGCCGTGCCGCCACCTGCCTCGCAAGCGCAAAGTCCTGAGTTCGATCCCTGGTACAAAAAATTTTTATTTTTGTAGTCCCAACTACTTTGCAGGCTGATAAGGTAGATTGCAAATTTAATGCCACAGTGTAGGCCATTTAAAACCTGTCTGGAAAATAAGCCCACTGTGGGTGGCCCATATCCGTAATTCCAGCATTTGGGAGGCTGAGGCAGGAAGACGATGAGTTCTAAAGCCTGTGAACTATGGCGTAAGACCGTACTTTGCAGTAACACAGTGACACACGTTATATTTCTTTCCCTGTGAGAATTTAAACCCCAGAAAGATTCGACTTGTCTTCCTTTCTGTATCTCAAGTGTTTAGGATAGTGCCCGCAGAAGGGAGGAGAGAGGAAGGAAGGTGGGATACAATAAAGGAAAAAAGGGAACGTTTGAGTTCGCATTTCTGAGCCTTCGAGATCAACGCTCACATTC